CCTGCCTTCAGACTGGAAGGACTGCTATGACTCATAGCTTGCCTACCTATTCTAATCCTACATGCTGGCCCAGCCAAAGGTGTGTGTAGACCACAGCCAGCCCCTCTCCTATCCCCACCTGTAAGGCCTCAGGTTAGGAAGCTGGAAATAAACCAAGGAACAGGAGAACAGGGGTGGTAGCCTAAGACATGTAGCAGTCTGGCTGCTAAGACCTGTAGCCCAAGAGCTGTATCAGTCTGGCCCCAAAAGCATCCTCAGTGCTTTTGGGGCTATATGGGAGAGTGTGCTGCAGGACTGGCAGCGATCTCGACTGGTGCACCAAGGGGTGCTTCTCACAAGACAGTCTGGCAGTGAAGATTCCTTTCCACTTCACTGAAATTCAGCGCATTCCGGGAAGCTCTCCCATTTCTCAGCATTTTTCTGACCCCTAGTGACAAGATGCGGCTGTATCACAGCTGCTTAACATGCAGCACCCAGCTCTCCCTGCATAAACAAGGAGCAACACTCACTTTTTTCAGACAGAGAAAAGCTTCCAGATCCATCAAGATACTCACCCTCTGCAACCCTTGTGAGATTTGCCAGAAAATCCAACCTGCTTAGCAAAGAAACACACACGTGTACCAACAGTCGGGAAGCACGCTGAGTCCCATTGCAGTATTCTCCAGCTGTGCCCAGAGAGGTCAGGTTATGTGATCAATCCATCACCAGGCTGGACAAAGCAAGGGCTGGGAAGAAGGTAATTTGGATGTATTACCTTCCCCCGGGGCAAACATATCCTGACACAGGAATCAAAGTCGAAGCAGTACTGGAGCACAACTCTTACGGCAAGCAGCTGAGGGAGCTGGGATGGACCAGTCTGGAGAAGAGGAGGCTCAGAGGAGACCTTAGTGTGCCCTACAACTGCCTCAGTGTGTCAGTGGGCAGGTGGGGATGGGCTGACAGTTGGACTTGGTGATCCAAGAGGTCTTTTCCCACCTCAGTGATCCCATGATTCTATTTGTAGCAGCCCTGATTTACCCTCTTCATTCCGCTGTGGCAAACTCCACTTTAAGGGAAAAACTCTATGAGCAGAAGGCTCACACAGGGATAATCAGCAGTTTATCTCTTTTTATTGGGCCCTTTTGTCAAATTAAACTTGTCTCGACCACCATAAATCCCCCCCCAGTGCTAAAGGAACTCTAGTTAAACCAATTGTACCAGCCGAGCAGTTGATGATGGAAGGATAGTGCTCAGCAAGGTCTAAGCCCTACCATGGGACAAGAGCCCGCTCCAAGTCACTCACTCAGGTGCAGCTAACATGGATGCAAGCTCTGAAAACATTCCCACTGCATTCCTGAAGCACTGCAGCTAGTTAATTGTTGCCCTGCTGACTAAGCAGCCATCCCTCCCTGCCCACAACACACAGGTTTCAGCCTCATCACAGGAGTGACCTCAAAGTCATCAGCACAAACCTCTCACACAGCGCTGGAGGACGGCCACCCTTCCTCCAAAGTACAATTTAAAACAAATACACAGCCCTGAAAATGCACCCTGCTTGCCCAGAGCAATCAGCAAACACCACGGAGCTGGGTCAGCAGCTTTCCTAACAGCCACAGCAAAGCCGCTGCTTTCATTGCTGGGTAATCCTATTTGCCTGGTGAGAGGGCCCAAGATGCAAAAAAATCAGTGTGAATTTAGCAGTGACTGGAACCACACTAATGCTAACATGAACCTCACGCTCAGCTCTTCCTGAGGGATGCCCGGAAAAGCACACGTGCTGGAAGATGACCTAGGCCAGCCTTTAACGCTGTTAAGCTGGGGGCCAGCACAGACTGTTAAAAACAAATAAAATAAACACTTGTTACTGTGTCGGAGCCTGGGGATACAGCAGGGCTTCCCTTTTAGAAGCAGCAAGGGCCATGATCTCCACATCTTATACTTGACGGCAAACAGATTCAATGTTGCAACTGGTAGGAGGGAGCTGGTGTCCCTCTTCCTCCAAAAGGGTCCATCAGCAGGTTTGGGACTGGACAACGTGAACACTGGGAAACTCAAAAAGCAAATCTTGACAAGGATGCCAACTGAAGGAGTTTCCACAACCAGCTGGATTTTGCTGAAAAGGTACAGACAAAATAATAAATGTAGATTAGTGATGTGAGATATCCCTCCATGAGTGCAGAAACCCCCTGGGTATGTTACAGCAATGCACACAAGTTAAGTTGACACTGACCTAGCCTCAAAATAAGCACAGCTCTAAACTAGGGAAGAAGAGAGGGGAAAAGAGCAGAAATCTCTGCCCTATGACAGGCACAGTCCCACCACAGGGCTGCAAAATACTCTGAGCAAACACCTTGCCCAACAGCGCTCGATTAATCATTCAGCAAATTTAGAGTCCCATCTGAATGAGAGAAATGAAAGCAGTGCAGAGGAGAATTCATGCAGCCAGCCAAAGGATCGCCCACCCCCAATTTCACACATACACAGAGGAAAAATCACGACTGCCCTGTTGACACTTCTCATCAGCAGCATGTGAGATCACTCTGGCAGAAAGATGTGCAAGGCTGGCAGTTAAAGGCAGATCTATACCCTAGGAGAGAAAGTAGCATTACAAAGGAGCTGGGTAATCAGTAGATACACCGTAATTAGTGTATCCATGATTTTCCACTTTGCTACATCATTGCTTCCTTAACCTGCCTATGCCACTGTTCACAGGGGTCACGATGCGCCAGTCCTGCAACCCAAACCAATGCCAAGAGAACATTCTGCTGGCCTTTTCCAACCTTGCAAAAAATCCCAGCTCCTGATTTCATTGCTGGAAGCTGTACAGCACTCCTCCTCCTGTATTGCACATCTAAGCCTCCAGCTTGTACTGATCTACCCAGAGCTGCCTTCCAAGCCTCCTCTCCCCACACATAGGCACAGCACAGAATAGATGCTCATTTTTCCTTTTTATTACACAGAGAGTAAGTTTACGACAGACAACAAAGGAAGGATGTGCTTTCATCTAACATTTCTGCTGGAGAAACAAATTGTCTGCGTGGCACTCAGGGACTCTAAAAGCAGAAAGCAAGATGTGCATGAGCATGTAGAGTCCTTAGAGTTGGAAGGGACTTCTGATGGCCATCTAGTCCAACTCCCCTGCAACACACAAGGACACCGCGGCTCTATCAGGTCGCCCAGGGCCTGATCCAGCCACACTCTGGAAGTCTCCGGCATCAACCACATCCCTACGCAACCTGCGCAGCGCCTCAGCATCCTCGCCGCAGAGCGACGGCCCCGACGCCCGCAGGAGCTCGAGGGGCCCCCAGCGCCAACCCCGGCCCGGGAGACGCGAGGGGCCGAGGGCAGCCGCCGCCGTGGGTGGACCCGACCCCTCGCCACGCCTCCCGCGGCCCCGCCACGCCGCCCGCCCCGCCGCCCGCACAGCGCCCGGCTCGCATCGCCGCGGAGGCCACGGACAGCCGTGGGCCATGGTAAGTGGGCAGCGGGCAGGGCGGCCGCCGCTCCGAGGGCGAGAACGGGGAAGGAGGGCTAAGGGGGCGGCTGCGGCGCTCGAGGAGAGAGGCGGGAGGAGAGGGAGGAAGGAGCGGAGCCGGGCGGTGCGGTTAATGAGTAACGCGGGCAGCTCTGCTGGCCGCCGCCGGCTTACCGGAGTGCTGGGGGAGGGAAAGGCTGCGGCACGGCGAGCGTGGCTCTGCCGAAATCCTGCCCTGCACGCGTGGCCCCCGCTCGTGCTGCTCCGGCTGCACAGCCCACGAGGGGCCTCGTCACAGTCTGCTCGTGCCAGGGCGGTCCCCTCTACCTAAGGCGGATGGCACAACACCCTCACGGGGACGATGCTGTTAAGGCGGAGAGGGTCGGTTTGTGGCCGGAGAGCCCTGAGAGGCGAGCTCTCCCCACTTCCCATGCTTAGGTCCTTCGTCTGCTTTGCACAACACTGTCCTGCGGGCAAAAAAATAAATAACAACCCAGCAATGCCTCCATGGTGGAGAGCCAGCGAAAGAAAACAAAACAACTGCATTCCCCCCAGTGCAAACGATGTGCTTTAAAAGAGTGAACACATGAAGGCACGGACGTGGCCTACCAAAGCAGCTTGCTGAACGGGGACGGCAGCAGTGCCCGGCCCCACGTTGCCCAGTTGCTAAGCCACCCGCCTTAACACGTCACCGCCAGGGCCGAGGGTTTATTGCACTGAGCAGTGTTTGCTCGCCGCCTCGAAAGGTGGAGCTCTGGAGGGGGTGAAAGCCATAACGTGGCACAAAGCAAAGGGCGGCATCGGGGGCTTGCAGCGAGGAAAGCTGTCCCCGAATGCAGGAGGGGATCACAGTGTTGCAGGGGTGGCATCCATCCCACACAGGTGGCTCGGACTTCCTTAAGTACAACACCAAGGAAGAGCCCGCAAAAGCAGCATCAGCTCTTCGGCTGTCCTTCCATGCTTTGTTGACTGGATGATTTGCCTTCTCTGGTCCATGGAACTCTTTGCTTTGGCATAGACACTCAGAAGCTGCTTCTCAAAGAAAGAACTACTCAAAGAGCGAGCAGGCTGTGTTGGTTGAGACTAACATCTAACTTGCCACACTTTGTCCTTAAGCACAAAGGAAAGCTAATTACAAAAACATGTTGGTCTTTGCTAGTGAGAATCAACAATACTCATCCATTAGGAAAGAATTCAACTGCCAGAACAGCATCTTCCATAGAGCAGCACCCATCCCCACTCACCACTGCCCTCCCCGCAGAGCTAGCAGACAGCCTGAAGAACTCCCTGGTTCAGTTTCATCTTTGCCATATGCACAAGCTGAAGCCAAGAGCTGGAGCTTTTCCCCCCTTTAAGACCAAATAACAGCAGCTGTGCCAGAGAGCGGAAGACAACACTAAATCACAATCCCTCCCTCTGCCCTTTGTTACTTGCAGACAAACAGCCTCTTAAAATCCATCATAACATAAGGGAGACTGAAAAGGAGCTGAACTCCAATGAAATGTGACTCACCTATGATTCACGCCGCTTTTCTTCTCCTCTAGAGGAGGTTTCCAGCACAATTGCCCTGCGAATAATCCTCCTGCTTCCAGAGGGTACCTCACAAACTTGAAAAGCAAGCAGGTCTCAGTTCTGGAAGTCATTACAGGTTGTTTCCCCCTCCCCCCCCCCCCGATAGAAGATTAAATGTGTATTTTGGAGCTTAACCACACACAGATATCATTTCTTAGTACTGCAGGCTATAATGAATACATACATACAGCAGTAAAGTGTCCCAGGAGGCTCTATTTGTTAGGTGGTGCAGATCAAAAGACAGACTGGACTTCACTTGACCTAGTGTGTGCCATAAGGTACCCAAGGTGGGGAGCAGAGGGCAGCACTGAGATCTCCCCATCCTCAGCAGCCCACAGTTCAAGGTCTGCAGATGCATTCCATGCCTCCCAACCACCTTGACCTGCAACTCCACAACCCATGGGTTGCCTCATTTCTTTGTGTATCTGCTTTGTCCTCCCACTGCCACGCTGATCTGCTTCTCTTCCCTTCCTCGGTGCCAGGCAGGTAAAGCCCACAGGTTGAATGCAGAGGAGAGGGAGCAGCTGCTGCCAAACCTGAGAGCCGTGGGGTGGAATGAGGTGGAAGGAAGAGACGCCATCTTCAAAGAGTTCCACTTCAAGGACTTCAATCGGGTATGAGCATCGGTGATACCAAGTTTGACAGCTTGGAAAACCTATTTTACAGAGCAGGGAGTCCCACCTGCATGGCTCAGCCACAGAAACCCCTCTTTTTGCTAAAACACAATGGCTGAGCAAGATAATCTACCCAAGACACCAAAGTCTTCAATCCAGCGTACAGTTTGTCTGGGAAAAGTTCCCCAAGGAGAAGACCCATAGCAAAGCCCAACAAGACCGAACATCTCACGTCTTGCTTTTAGATCCCTGCAAACACAGGGTGTAAAATTGATAGTGAAGGGGTGAAAAGCAATATAGCATGAGATAAGCGGTTCAGAACTAACTTTTCTTTTTACTCCACTGAGCAGGCCTTTGGCTTCATGACCAGAGTGGCTCTACAAGCAGAAAAACTGGATCACCACCCTGAATGGTTCAATGTGTATAATAAGGTAAGAAGCGTGGATGGCAGGGACGCTCAGAGCTCTTCAGGGAGCCAAACCCATTTGTCAGGCATAAAACAGCACTCTGAGCACCAAGTCCTGGTCAGATCAGCAGAACTTCTTCACTTGGATGCTGTTCCCTTGGCATACCACAGACAGCCTGTAGCTATGACCCACAAGCCCTCACCTCCCCCCTTTTTTCCTGCCCATCTGGGCAGTAGCTATGGGTGCACTAGCACCAGAGTTGGTTTGAAGTAGCAGCAAGGGGAAAAGCTTCTGGAGAAAGTGAGTTGAAAGGCAGGCACAGCTAGCTGCTATGACCAATACAATGGTAGCCGTCACTGCTTGTGGCCAGGAAAAAAAAAGAGACAGAATGCCTCAACTCCTCTCCCATCCCAGTAAATTTTGCTAACCAGTTTGGAGAAACTAATAGTGCTACCTGCCTGACCAGATGCAATCAGTTGAGCAGTGGGGGAATGTGCTCCTGTTCTGTCTGCCAGCAGCACTCTGTCTTTCTGTCTGGTTTAGGTTCACATCACCTTGAGCACCCACGAGTGCACAGGTTTATCCGAGAGAGACATCAACTTGGCCAGCTTCATCGAGCAGGTTGCAGCTTCTCTCTCTTGACCAGAGAGGGAGACACATGAAGCCAAAAATCAGCCCTGCCGCAGCCACGACCCGCACCTCGCCTCAATGACTGCACCTCACATTTTCTCCTGTTTCCCAACCAGTGCCCAGACCCAGACTGCCTAAGACTGCACCAGGCTCCCTGCCCCAGCTTGGCATTTCAGACAGGTGGGAGCACCCAGCAAGCCTTTACTCCTGTGCATATACTTCTCTCTCATCTTGCCACTTCCACGCTTAAACCCTTCTTTATCTGTGCACTACCCACCTACAAATTGCTGACTCTTGGAGACTTTCAGAAACCATGCCCTTCTACCAGGAGTAACATTACACAATTGCAGGAGTAAATCTTTCCAGAATATGACCCCATCTAGTCACTACTGTTGCTTCTTACATACCAAAATATGCTTTACTATTCAAAACATGGTATGTTAACCCTTTGGTATCTCCATTACACACTGACAACTGTGATGTGCAATTTGGTTATTAATGTAACCTCTCTCTAGCAGTATTATAAGAAGGCATGTGATCTCACTGCTATTCTAAGTGGCTTTTAGTAGGATACCAGCTGAAAATGTTTACAATAAAGTTCTTGGTTGAGCTCATGTCAGTTTGGAAAGCGGCCTCATTGTCAGAATTGTCCCAACAAGTTTTCCCAAGCCAGGTGCTGTCCTGATTGCCTCAGGAAGGTGCTTCTTCCATGGAAAAGCTTCGTGATAAAGCATCATGGAGAAGAGGCACATGCCTTCCCAGGTCCGCACCTCAAAGCGAACAGGGTCTGAAAGAGAATGAGATTTTCAGAGCCTGATTAGAAGCCAGTGCAGATTTGGAAAAACTGCTTGTGCTAAAAACTAAAGTGCAACTATCATACCCAAGGCACAAACGCAGGGGAAGCACGACCAAAGGGGACAGAAGCAGCCAGGCATCAGGCCAGAGGCTGCTTACTGTGGCATACCTCCCATAAGATGTTTTAGATGGATTTGGTACTGCGAGATCCTCACTTCAGTAACTCAGTGTCTTGGCATTCATGCAGGCTGCAGTCAAACTGCTGCTTTTTTGGAACAACAAGAAAGATTTGCTATGAAACCTACAGTACTTTTCAGCAAAACAGCCTGGGAGAAATATTTCCATAAGTAGTAAGAGAAAATCCATAGCTCTTCAAACGCTTACAATTTTTGGTACCCTTCAACATCATATGCAAGCTGAAGTCACAGACACCACTTTCATCTGGACAGAATAAGATAGCAGCTCAGATTTAACATAATTCATAAAACATTTCTCCCACCAAAGACTAGGTTGAATATAAGCAAAGATCAAGAGCAACAGGTCCCCATCCATTCAAACCAGCACCAAAGCAGAAAAAATAAAAGTTCAACAAGCCTAGGTAGCTCAATGCACCACTTTAATACAAACTAGGCCCATCTTCACCATCTTGTCAGCTATTTCAGCCTACAGTTTTACACTGGCAAACTAGAGCAATGCAGAATACTGCCATCAGAGGAACTGATCCCATTCATTCATTAAAAACATTCAGTGCGAGTTTATTGGGCAATATATTATTGTGTTGTATGCAACCCTTCCACTCTTCTAAGTCATCAGAAAAGTGCAGAGGAAATCCATGGCATGAAGACAGACATCTCTTCTTGGTCCATCACACCGGATATTATTCAGTCTAGTACCTTATGAGCACCCAACTCCTTCAGGAGTGCCTTGTGCAAGTAAATCTAGTGTCTCACTTGGAAAACCTGGCCAGTTGGAAATCTCACAGGAATTAACAGTTGGGAAGATCCCTCCAGGTCTAAAGCCATATCCACTTCCAGATCAGAATCCAGTCCATACAATTGTTCTTTTTCACATTTTTTTTTTTTTCTTCCTTTTAAACAATTATTGAACCTGTTACTCTCAATTTTCACTAAAACCATTTGGCATGACAAAGGAGATGCAGATTACATGTTAGATAACAAGGATGAATAAAGACTACACAGCAGTAAATTACAGTGGCCTGTTGTTGACCACAAAATTACATTTACAATATAGAACAAATACATATTAAACAATTAAACCCACAAATATTACTAGTAGGCGAATCCAGAATAGAGTACAGTGATTTACAAATAACATCTTGAAATACACAGGAAAATATGAAAGGGAACACTGATCCATCAGATCCATCAACCTTCTTTGGGGGGAAGGCAAGCAGGGAAGAGGAAGGAGTTCCTCCCCTTCACCCCACTCTGTTCCTTCCCCATTATCTTTGAACGCAGGAACAAAAAGACTAGCTCCCTTTTTATGTTTTCCAAATGTTGGTTCAAAGAGAACCATCACAGTAGCCAGACACTTCAGACTCTCTCCACAGTACAGCAAACTCAGAGATGCAGTAATGATCACATTAGTAAGATGTTAACAGAATAAGGAGGTCCAACATAAATGCCAGAGCTGGTAACACCACCACCAGACAATTCAAATGTGATGTTTCCAGAAGAGCTCAGAGTCATGCACAGAGTCATCAATGACAGGCGATGGCCAAAATACTTCATCTCCTAGCACTGAGAATAAACCTGTTAAAAAGCAAGTTATTCTTCCCCACTGGGCAAAAGGCTACACTTGAGTGTGTGGTGGCTGTTAAGAAGCCTTCTCATTCTGCATAATTATTGTGCAAGTGTGTGCTTGGGCTTGTCAAACCTGTGAGAGTCAGGTTAGGGCCAAGCAGCCCCCTGTGGCAGAGATGCTTTCAGATGCTGTAGCCATGGCACAGTGTTCTCCCAAATGATGAACCATGCCTGGGAAACTCTATGTAACTTGCAGAAAGCTGAGAGCAGGCACATGGGAAAGCCCTCCAGGAGTAACTCCAGCCCCGTTTAACAACTCGAGAGAATCTAGCTCATCCTTAAAGCAACAACTACCTCACATTGCTCTGTTCCAGTAAAAACAGTGGAGAAAAACAGGAAGGGTGAGACATATGCCCAAAGCTCTGTTACCTCCAACTTACTGCATCCTATCTTCTACCTTTCAGAACTATGCCAGCATCCTTGTAATACTGTGAAGGGACTTGGCTCAATAGCACTACTATTCTATCTTATGGGCAAGCATAGTTTACCTGAGGCCAGTCTGCCTTTGAGGTTTTGTTTTCAATATAGTACCATAAGGAAATGGCTGCAGCTAACCTTGCAGTCAACAGCTGACCCCTCCAACCCTCCCTGGCATCCCATAAAAAGCCAGAGAAGCATCAAGGCACAATGGTGAATGCCCTTTTGAGAATGTGCCTTAAAAGAATCAGTGCAAAGAGCAGAGAAATTACTAATTCCTATTACAAAAGTCACCTTGTTATACTAAAGGATTATGGTTTAAAAAAAGGTCAGCTTTGGTGCCATACATTTGCACATTAAGTCCCCAGCTATCATCAATGCCAGGGCTTGACCAACTCAACTACAGCATTGTGGGATAGTGCAAAACCTTCAAGTTTCAACAGCGAAATCACTGTTTTGCACATCCCTCCAGAACTGTGCAAGGTGCAACAGCACTCTAGGCCGTAAACGCATGTCTTCTAGAAGAGGCAGGGAAGTAAAACAGATACTACGTACCTAAGGTTTTCAGTACCGTTCAGTTCCTCTCTGTATACCACCCACTGGGTTTCTATTTTTGCTGTTATTCAAATGAAGAGATTCCAGAAAAGGATTGTGTGTTGTCCTCCCCTCCCCATTCCTCAATAGATAATGACTGCAGTCAGGTCTCCAGAGGGGATTTTAAAGAGTAATGTGACCATCCTTCCTTTGCACTACATAGATATATAAGGCTTCCAGTACAGTTTGTTAAATGCAGTAGCTGGGAGGAATACTCAAAAGAAAACAGAATTTTCTATTTATTTTCTACCTTCAACTCCTGGGAAGAGCAAAGCTTTGGAACATAATGTGAAAATTCAAATCTAATGCTTGGCTTGGCTGGACACCAGCTGAATACACGGTCTGAGGAGAAGAAACAGCAAGGAACGAAGAGACATACAGAATACCTGAGGAATCTGGAGATGTGGAATGGACATTCAGTTCATCATCAGTAATCATGATGAAAATATACAGGGGGAGGAGAAGAAAAGCCTTAGGACTAAAGCTGGGTATGAAAATAATGCAGATTTCAGAGCAGACAAAGATGAGGAACAAAGTTTGACATCAAGCTGCCATCTGCAACTTTAAGAACAAAGGCTTACTGCAATCTCCTTCCTTAGGAAACATTTAGAACCACCCCAGTGCTAGCTGGCAAGGCACCAATTGTTGTGCTACAGTCAGTTGTGGCCGGGAGAGCCGTTCATGTGCTTTTCACTGCCAGGAACATCCGTGCTGTACAGGCCATCCAAGTATGCCAGGGAAATCTCTGCTACCAAGCTCCTGTCTGGGATGGACTGGGCCATTCCATAGATGGCTCCCTAAGCAGAGAAGAGGTCATTACATGGGATCATTAACGTCATTCCAGAAACAAGCTCACACTGCACACACACACTGATCAGGCTCTGGATCCTTACCATGCCCGTGGTCTTGGCGTTGAGATTCTTCATTATGTCCTCAATGCTGTCTTTGACATCTTTCAGGAACTGCTCAGCCACACCAGGCTTCGTGTGCAACTGTGTGATGCAAAGATGAATGCTGGGCAGGCAGGGCAGAGAGGAGAGATTAGTCACTTTGTGCATGGCAGCTGCACATTTACACAGCAACTGACAGCTCCTTCCCTAGCCAGTAACAACTGCCTACCTCCTTAAATTAACATTTCACTGGTATTAAGGGAAAAGATTATTCATTTCTTTCCAGTTATAGATAACCCCTGCAAAATACTTGCTAGAACCAAGCTGCAGGAAGTTCAACTCTTCTTTTGCAAGGTGGCAGCTCCCCTTTCCTTCCTGACATCAGCATAGACGATTAAAGGTCTGCACTACCTTACTACGTCAGCTATCCCCAGCATGGAAGTCAGCCCCCACCAGGAGGAGCAGAGTTACTCACACCTCCAAGCTATTACTTCAGGCTCTCTAGACTCCTCTTCAAATCTACAATTGCAAATCTAAAATTTTCCGTGCAGCTCTATCTTAGAACATTTGTCCCTCTCACCCACAGAAAGGCAAATTCCACCTATAAAAAAAAAAAAAAAAAAAATCAAAACAAAAAAAAACAACCAACTTTGACAAACATTTCTTTGGCATCAGGCTGGAAACATCACTGAAAATGACTGGCCCTTCACTGCTCTTTCAATTACCTTCCCCTTCAGAGGGCAGGTATTTAAAAAACCAACCAAATAAATCTATGTGTACTCACTAGCAGACATGAGATAAAGCCCCAGCAATTTACATTTTTCTGCTTGCACTAAGCAGAGATAAATAGAAAGGGAGCCCAGTTATGCCCTCTGCCAGGCTTATTAATATTACTATCGCTGCTATATATGAGCAATTACAAACATAATTGCTTCTCCATAGAGAAGAAGTCTGCATACAATTTATCAGATAACAGACAACACCACTCAGCAAATTAAGGTGGCCTAAAGTCAACTATCTTGCATACCCTGGCAATGCACATTGCTCCTCTGTCTACAACAGCATGACCACAAACTCACCTTGGTGGGAACTGCA